TGGAATGTGATGGGCATCATTATCCAAAGTACATGGAAGAAGACATGAATTGGTGTCAACATACTTTATATACAAAAACAGAGATATGAAAAATTGTATTCTATATGTGTAATAAGAATTGTGATGCATTTCGCTGTCATGTATTTAAAAAATAAAAGCAATTTAAAAACACAATATAAAGATAATGACTGAGTTGACAACACAACTATTCCAGGGATTCTGGGTAGAACAGTGAATATGATAACCTCAAAAAATAGTTTTCAAAGCAAGAATACTTAAGATGATAATTGGCGTGTAAGAAGAAAATAATAGAATTCCTGTTTATGTTTAAATTTTATTTAAAGCAAAAATAAATCAGGTAAACTTTGCTAATATTTGAGACTTGGATTAACATAAATGCCCTGAGTCCATACTTCAGATGACACAAACCTGATAAAATACTTGAGATATCCTAAAGAAAAATTGGAAGTTTCAAGAAGGAAATACTGACAGCTGTTACTTGGTTCTTCTGTTTTGCTTTCAAATTTCAATTATTACAATCTATACTTGGCCATTTAGACAGATTTACAGAGTATATTACTTTGAATTGTGCAATATTTACAATTCTTCATGACCCATATAATCTTCCCACACAAATATTGTCTGATTATCTCAAAGTGCTTGTCTTTGAGCTTAAATATTGGTCATGTATCATGCCTTACTAAAAGGCAAATGTTCTAAATTTGCTGATCTCATCTGTGATGATAAGTAATTGTCAATAGTGTCTATGTACAAGACGTTTTCAAAAAGCACATAAACCATTCCTTCAAAGTAAAAGTAACATTTTAACAATACATGAGAAAGTCTAGTAAAGTGAGACTTTTGAAAATGTTTCCAGTGTTATGTTGCCAAAATCTATAAATATTCAGTGTCCTATGGCTTAAACTTGAAAATAAAATTCCCTAATCAGTTTTTTTTAATATTCCACATAAAATGATTCAGATAATATTTAACCTATTCCTTCAAAATATTAAAACACCCAGTTTCCAATTAGTTAGCAGAGACAAATTAGTATCAGATAAGACAAAAAAAATGGCCAGCTATGTGCAGAAATATTTGCAAAACTGGTAGATAAAACTGAAAAAAATAACATTATAATTTAGCAAACACAGTAAATAATTTGTTCCTTTAGTCTAGATTGATATGTGCTTGTGAGGCATCTTTTCAACTATGACAGATATTAAATCTAAGTATAAAAATACACTGAAGTTAGAAACCTTTGAATAACTGCATTAATAAGTGTTAAACTGAGACTTTCAAAAATAATAACACACAATTATAACATTCTTGTTAAAAGATTTGCAAAAAGTATGAGTCAATAATTTTGCTGTTAAAGACATTATTTTTACAAAATAATATAATTTACATTAAAATATTTTATCTTTATGCCAACCTTATTTTTTCTAATTTATAAATATAAGATGCATATACTGTATAAATTTAAATATACACAGACCAGATGTGATGAAAGCATTTTTACTTTAGAAATATGATTATCAAGCTTCAAGGCCATTATCCTAATATTTTCTACTTCAAATAATGATTTATTATAGTGGAGAAAAAGCAAAAGAAAATCTCTAAAATAAAAATTAATACAATTAATTTTATGTTTTTAATAAACTATTCTGTAGTAGATGATTTTATGTACTCAAACACTGATATGAAAATAGATTAGGAATTAAGTGGATACTGAAAATGCAATCAAGTCTAGTTGCAGTGATCTAAAGCTTCATAACTGTGAAGACAGCCAAGTCAGTGCAATCCTGAAATCCAGTTCAGAGTCCTGGTTCAGATATTGTTTTAATATGTCCTTCCAAAAACACTGTCAGGTACACTTAGTGCATGCCTAATATCCCAACTCCTAGGGAGAATGAGGCAGAAGGATCATTAAGTTCCAGGCCAACCTCAGTAAAGTAGCAAGCCCTAAGCAACTAAGTGAGACATCTCCTCAAAAAGAAAAATAAAAATGGCTGGGGATGTAGAGCAGCACCTTTGAGTTCAATCCTCCAGTACAAAAAAAAAAAAAAAAAAAGACCAACTTATGTCCTCCAAGAACTTGTACCTATCTACAGTCATTGAGAAATAATTTTTTCACAAACCATTCCATGCCTGGGCCTTTTGTCATTAGGTCCCTCTTATTTATTTCCAGTATCAGACTAGCTAAACATACTGTGGAAGCTGAATAGTCAACACTGAAGAGAAAATTAAAAATGAAAAACGAAAAGCTCAACCTCACTTAAAACTCTGAAATTCGTGAGTTCTTCTATTACTTACAAGAGAAGAATGTTAAACATTGGCAAGATATACAACCCACTGTGCACCATGACAGATGCATCTATGTCTAATGATACAGACAGTCATAAAGACAGAACCCTGTTTCCTAAAATGTGAAATCATGTTAAGTACTTCCCCAAATAGACCAATTCACATAGTGATCCATGATGTTGATAACAGCAGATTAGGAGGACAAAGGAGAGTCAAAGCTAATGAAAAATGCTCCAGCTGGGCACAGTGGCACATTCCTATCATCCCAGCAGCTCAGGAGGCTGAGACAGGAGGACTGTAAATGCAAAGTCAGCCTCAGCAGAAAGGAAGACACTAAGCAACTCAGTGAGACCTCTAAACAAAAATACAAAATAGGGTTGGGGATGTGACTCAGTTGGTTGAGTGGCCCCAAGTTCAATCCCTAGTACCCTACACACACACACACACACACACACACACACACACACACACACACACACACACACATAAATGCTCCAGAAAGAGAATTTTCTTTGGTTTTCCCAAAAATGTCAAGAGAAGTAAAAATGTCAAGAAAAGTCAGCTTCTAATCTGATTCATATCAGTCCAGGAAAGGAAGTGAAAGTCTATACCTGGTAACTAGATGGAGGATGAGACATGGAGCTGTTGCAGGTGCCTAGAGTAATTAGCACCAACTACAGGACCTTAGAGAAGCCCAATGGCAACAATAAAATGGTGTGAAGAATTCCATGACAGTCCTGTGTAAGGTATAACATCCCACAAAGACCTCATAGGCTCATTCCAGGACACAAAAATCCCCTAATACAATGTCGGTATCTGGGCAAGGAAAAAGGATGGAAGATGCAGATTCCAAGTCAAAATGTACATTCAGGAGATCCAGTGTTTTGATATTACTTTTGGATAACTGAACCTCTTCCTCCAACATTTTCAAGTAAAATTAACTGAACTGTCAATTGTCTTGTAGGATATACATTTCCAGTTTTCTAATAGGAATAAAATAAATACAATACTCCCATAAATAATCCTAAAATGTACATATTTCAATCTAATCTTTACTAATAAGGAAGAGGATAATATTTTATTTTGAAAATGCACAGAACCTAAAAAATTAATATTCCTGATGCAATGAAAATAAATCAATTTCCAAAAAACAGAAAGAGGTTCTTGAAAAAGACCATCTAGTCAAATAAATAAGTGTGCTATGAAGACACCTAAACCATACTAAAATCATTACAAGGAAGGGCAATCATCAAAAAAAAAAAAGTAACTGTCTCCCTGTTTGTAGATTGACCACTTATTGGATCACCCAAGAGCACCACTAAAACAAGGTTATACAGAAATGAGTACATACAGATCAATATCCACAAATTGAGACTCAGCAGCAAAACATTCACTCTGGCTAAAGACCATGCTTAAGTGTCTATATGCCCTTGGCATGGAGACAATAATCAATCAGACCAATAATATTCACCAAATTAATGATTGAAATTCATGTCTTTAGAAATGCCAGAATCACCCAGATGAAATTGGGGGCTCAAAAAATGTTCAAAACCACAAGAAAAATAATAGGGAAAAGAGGCAAAAAGAGATCTTAATTTTTGTGAGTTAACAAGACACTCACATATATCATTGAGTCCCAATTGGTCATAGGTGGGGGGAGGCAAGTATAATGTTGGTTATATAGAGGTGTGTGGAGATGCAGGAGAAGTGGGGCTATGTGGGATATTGAGGAAGTTGAAGGGGATCAGAGGGATATGGTGGAAATGTGACCGATTTAAGGTATAAGTTCTTCATGATAAATTTCCTTCCAATTTAAAATTTCTTACCTTAAAACCACACTATGTACTATATACAAATATAATTCACAAACGGCAAAAAATCAAATTAAAGATGTAATTACCACATTTGTGGAAATATCCTATTTTAAATGAGTCAAGCTGACTTTCCTCACAAATTCATGGGATCAATATTGGAATAGTACAAATATTTAAGATCAGAAACTTTATTATACACTTGTTTCATAGCGTATTTGTATATTACAGATAAATTATTGAAAATGAAATCATTAGTATGCCATCACATTTCTTCTCTAAACTTAAGGTAAATAACAGTCACGTTTCCAGAATCCTTATCTCTGTTCCTTATCAACCAGAATCTCATTGAATCAAGTATGGAAAGGATTTTTTTAAAAACTAGAAAAACACATACAAATATACACCCCTTTCTGGGTTCCTGCATATAGTTTTCTCCTTTTTTTTTTTTGCCCTGCCATATCTTTTCTATTGCTTTGTAGCAGATGGCAGTGTATCTGAATGAATATCATCTATGTCTCAATAAGCATTATATTCCATAAAAATGTACATATATGGTTGATATTCCTGGGAGTGTTTTCTCTCCTCATGGTTCTTTTCAATTTCCAACCCATTTTGAAGAAAAGGATAGGCTTTAACTAACATCAAACTTCAGGCATAATCTTACTTTGGGCTTTTCTCTTTAGAGAATACCCAAGTGAAAGGTTACTCTGCACAAACTTATTTTCTCTCCATCTTTCAGCTCACTTGACAATACTGAGATCAGCGTAGATTTTTTTCCTCAGTTGGATGCCTTTTGTTCATTGACTCACACAAATACAACACATACAAATGTAATACATTTTTCAGTTCTAATTTAAGAGAATTTTACTTTCATATTCTTACCTCTGAATTGTTCAGGTGGCATTTGTGAGTTCCTGAAAACCAGCCATCACTTGAACACTGGTCAATGTCCACTTTCTGAAGATTTATATCAACTTTCATGACACCCCTAAAACCAGAAAAAGACAAAATGACCAAATTCATTTGAGCCCTTAACAACTCCAAACTCTTTGAAAATCAGAAAAATCAGCAAAATCTACTAAAATATTTCAAACTGCCCACTCAAATTTAACTAAAGTGTACCAAATAAAGACAAACAATAAATCAAAATTAATTCTACCTAGGTCCCAAAGGCAAGAACCCTGTATTGTTCCTTCTTTGGTTTCTCATATAATGCCTAACACTTAACATTGTACTCAGTAAGTAAGTGCTAATTGACTTGACTGTCAATTATTCTGAACATGGTAGAAACCTTGACTCAGAAACACCTGCTCAAAAAATAAAAAATAAAAAAGCTCTCTCATTAAAGTAAATCACACTTACACCCTCATCTCATTTCTTTCAATTCCTATTTTCCATTGTAAGACCCAGGACAGAGAGATTGAAAGAATTAACGGGGAGGACAATATCATAAAATTAAGCTTTTCGTTCCTCTGATCTTCTATCACAATGACTTTAAACAATTCTTTAGGGCTCCCAATATCCTACACCAAGCATAGAGATTCACAAAAATGAAGACTACACTTCACTGAGTCATTTGAAGAGTCAGAAAGAGAACCCACAAATTCAGAGCTAAAAGCTAAATTACAAAAAGTCTCAAGTTTATCTAAAATTCCTCTATTTTCTTCAAGCAGTTCTCTACATTTTCCTAATATTCCTCCCTTATATTTTTTAAAATATTTTTTAATTGTTGACAGATCTTTGTTTTATTCATTTATACACAGTGCTGAGAATCAAACCCAGTGCCTCACACATGCCAGGCAAGTGCAATACCGCTGAGTCACAGCGCCAGGTCCCTTATATTTTTTAGTACCACAAGTACCACTAACAGAGCTGCTGCAGAAATATCTGTCCTACCTGGAATTGTCACACCTAGACTTTATTGAAATAAACATTCTGTACTCTGGTTCCTAAAATCTTTTACTTTATAATGCAGATCTTCACAAACTTGAGTAAAGAATAAACATCCCACTAAAAACTGATATATAAAAATATATGTTAAAGGTCTAAAACCAATTTGAAATATTTTTATATTAAATATATAAAACAAAGAGGCTCAAATTTCTCATTTTTAGCTCTTATAGCCATAAAAAAACAAAAATTACAAATGTATGTATATAAAGCTAACAAAAAATAAACTTAGTTTAAATTTAATATTAATTAAATTAAAATATTAAGAAAATTGGTGGTGTTTTGCTAATACTAAATCCCCTTTCAAAATAAGAACATGTAACTTCTGTTTTATATCTTGTGCTTCATTTCTTTCATTTCTTTTCTCCTTTTAAACTACTGGGAAATTTACCAACAGAGACGCTTACTGTCATTTGGGCTTCAGTTATGGTGAATAAATCATTCACTTTTTTCTTATGTTCTTTAACTTGTGAGAAAGCACTAGTTTTAACATGTCCAAAATAGACACTAAAACAAAGGATACTAAAACCTCCTGCCAGTTTTTGGCATCTAGATAACCCAGAGTGTATTTAATTTTTCAGATGAACAGTAAAATAAAAACTCAGAAATTATACGCAAATCTTTCATAACATCCTACTCCAGTTTGCAAAACATTATTGCTGTGGACCATAACATTATAAAACAAATGTTCATGTGACAAATAACTGGATTCCCAGTAACCTAATATTTTCATCTACTTCAATCCTTCCCTCTTTCAACAAATATTTACTATTTGTGACTACAATACGCAATGAAGGACACAAATATAAAACAATAGGTCAGGCTGGGATTGTGGCTCAGTGAGAGAGCGCTTGCCTAGCATGGGCGAACCCGGTTTGATCCTTAGCACCACATAAAAATAACGGCATTGTGTTATGTCCATCTACACTTAAAAAAATAAATATTTTTTAAAAATAAATAAATAAAACAATAGGTTCAGCCCTGAAGCAACATCAAAAAGCATGACACTTTAAATATCAAAATACAATGGAAAATGGGTGCTAAATTCCAGGAACTATGTAAAGCTATCACATTCACAGAGCTTAGTTCTAGTATGGGATAGACAGATAACAAATGTTGACTGTAACAAATGAGTAAATTATACCACGTGTTACAGAAGAAATGGTACTACAGGGTGGGAAAATTTTAAACAGGTAAATAGGAAGGGAGTAGAAACACAGGTTAAATTTTTTAAAAATAGGTGTTCAGAAAAAGGCTTGATGAGATGACATTTCTAACCATGTTGTTCAGGGGATAACTTCAGGGGTTCATATTCACTCTCAATTACCACTGTCATTAAATTTTCCACTGAACCACTACTGTCCACCACATTTTGGGTATTATTCTTTTGAATATCATGTTCAGAAAGTATTTGTAATTAGTAAACAAATCAAAATTTGCATTTCTATTTGTACCACAACTGTTAGCAATAATGAAGTCAAGTTTTCCTCTAACATCCTTAACAGTGGCAGAGCCTGGCCACAAGATAGTGGAAATAAGCTCTCTAGAACCGGGATTTCAAGAGGCTGTAATGATTCTAGTCTCTCTCCTGGAGAAAACTGGCTTCAAAAATAGGTATCTTAATTCCTGGGAGCTTTCTCCTTCAATTCCAAATTCATATATGAAAACCAAAAGGTCACCGCAGACTTTAAACCCAACTCCTGAAGCACTCTTGCCCTTGCCTTGTGCAAACCACCAGAGGTAATGAGCCTTGCGTTTTACCATCTGGGAAATCAGTGCTGACTCATCATTAGCACCTCGCCTTGGAGCCTGGAGACCAAAAAGCCCTGGGGAAGGCGCAGCAGACTTCCTGTGGAGGAAGCACGGTTTGGGGGATTAAGTAAGAAAACTCTCTTCCTGCGGAAGACTATTTAGCAAAAAGGAGGATGAGCCCCAAACACTTAAAAGCCCTCAGGCCCAGGCACAGGTTTAGATGAGGACTGGTTGGGAAGCCTGGCTGAGAGCCTGGCGCCCATGCCCGCGCCCTGTGTCCCTGGGGGCCTGCGCCACTGGGGCGGAAGTGCTGCTCCCACATCCGGTGAGCTGCTCCCACATCCGGTGAGCCAGGAGGCTGGGAAGCTTTCAGGGCCCACAAGTGCTGCTGGTCGGGAGCGTCTTGTACAGAAAGCAAGGACTGAAAAAAAAAAAAAAAACCCTGGTAAGTGGCCCCCAGGGAATGCGAAATATAACAGATGGTGTTCCCCAAGTACCTGGGTGCCCATCCTGTGCTGTGGCCCATCATGTTCCTTTCCTTTGTCTATCAGATGCAGGAAACCTACAAGCCTCTGTGATTCCTCTAATGTTCTTTCTCACTGAGAATAGCAGCCACGCACCTTCAATTGGACTGCCTTGTGGTTTTCACCCTCTGCTCATTTTCCACACCCTCTGCCTGGATTCAGACCTTCATCTCTCACAGGACTAACGTTTTTAATATAGCAATTTGGTTCTGTCTGCTGTTGCACCAGTTGAAAATTACCATTTGTAGATTCCAAATTTTATTCCATACAGGGTGTTTCCTTCAGAAAGAATGGCTGGATATATTTGTATCACAATATGACCTTTGACTCTTCATCATTGTGTTAGAACTCCTGAGCAGTCACAGTATTAACAGTAGCCAAGCATATACCTGAATGGCACCAACAGTTTACCTATTACACAGAAGTGTCTGCAGGCTACTTTAAGCTATTAATAAATCCAGACTAAATAATCCTGCACTACCCATTAGTGGGTTTCCAGAAATGCCCACAATCTAATGAAAGTATAATGGAGACATAATACAGTAGAAAAAGACATAGTGGTTAAATCTGCAAATTTTACAAAAACAATTGACCACAAAATTCATTACTAGTGCCTATTCCAGGATTTCAGAAGGTTTCCATTCAAGGTTCCCATATCATAAACTATAGCTTAAATATTCTACACTGCTATCTGTGTAATTTTTGCAAGCTGTAAATCTGATCCTGCACTTTTTCTGCTCAAGATCAATATTCTCACTTTCCTAAAGAATAAAATCCAAACCAACCTAGGCACCCTTCAACAGATGAATAGATAAAGAAAAATGTGGTATATATACAAAATGGAATATTCTTAAACCATAAAGAAGAATTATGGTACTTGCTGGGAAATGGATGGAACTGGAGAATATTATGCTAAGTGAAAAAGCCAATCTCAAAAAAAAACCAAAGGCCAAACCTTCTCTCTGATATGCAGATGCTAATACACAATAAGGAGGGAGGGGGTAAGAATAGATGTTCATTGGATTAGACAAAGGAGAATGAAGGGGAGGGAGGAGGAATGGAAACAGGAAAGACAGTAAAACAAATCAGAAATAACTTTCCTATGTTCATATAAGAATCATGACCAGTGTAACTCCACAATATGTTAAACCACAAGAATGGGAAATTGTACTTCATGTATGCATAATATATCAAATTACATTGTATTGTCATATATAACTAAAAAGAATAATTACAAATTTTTTTTAAAAATCCAAGCTCCTCAGTCTAACGTTATTGGGCTCCTACTTCTGACTACTCTGATCACTCATGCATACATTTTTTGTTCTAGATAATTCAGAATTACATTTGGAATCCAAAAGAATTCATGCTCTCACAAAATCCATTCCTTTAAAGATGGCTTTATAACTGGCGTCCCTTTGCCTAAACCATGCTTGACATTTTATCTTCTCTTTAGTCCTTTTTTAAAGCCCTTGATGAACTCCAAGTCTAATTTAGAAGCCACTTTCCTTTATCCCAGAATACAGTTTCCCTTCTTCAGATCACTTAGCACACTTTATTATTTTAGTCTATTGCTTCCACCCTAGACTAAAATTTCCATAGTCCACATCTTTTTTGCAGTACTAGCACCTCATGCATGCTAGACAAACACTCTACAACTGCACTTTTTTTTAATTTGAGATAGAGTCTAAGTTGCCCTGGCTGGCTTCCAACTTGCAATCTTCCTGCCTCAATTTGCTGAGTAGCTGGGATTACAGGTGTA